CAGGGTAAAAAGGAGGAATGTGTGGTCACATTGTAGGGATAGCAACTAGGGTCATATAACAATGTGTGTACAAATGTTTGCATGAGAAACTAACTTGAGCTGTAAACTTTCACCTAAAGCACACACACAAAAAAAGCTGAACTGGCAAATGTTGTGTTATATACATTCTTTACAAAAATAAAAAACTAAAACTAAAAAATGTATGGAAGCTATTTATCAACATGAAAAGATGTTCATGACATATTATCTAGGAAAAGACAGGTGAAGTACCATATGAAAATGTAGATGCAAGCAGATGGCAGGTGATTCCATTATGGGACAAGATGGAGGGATGAGGAGAGCCCAGGGAAGGAGCGCACATGTGGACTGACATCTCAGCTAATCTTCAGAACCTTCAGTACTATTCCTAACCTCAAGGGCTATTTGTATACTTTTGTAGGAATTCATGAAAAGACTGAACTTGGATGTGGGATAAACTCAGGACATGTGGACACAGAGGCCACAAGACCCAGGAGGAAGCAGGACCCAGGAGCTCCCTCAGAAATTAGAGGATGCAGAGGAGGGGCCACCTTGTCTCAGTCAGGTGCCCCTCCTGGGAAAACTCTAGGTCTTAACTCAGCTCAAGGGACTCCCAGGACTCCCAGGAACTTCAAAGGACTTACAGAATTTCACAGGCAGTGTGCTTTTTTGGGCACTCTGGGCTTAGCTGGGCTGGGAGGACTGAACACCCAAGGATTTAAGAATCAGAACACCAGCTATCACCTTCACCAGCTTGGAGGAGGCCCTGGGCACCTGAGGCTCCAGGTCAGAGACTGTGTGCTTCGTGCCCCCTTGCACTGGACTGCAGAGCATCTGCAGGGACTGGAAGGGCTCTGCCCAACTCTCCTGTTCCATCATCAGCCTATTAAAATGTGCACTGCTGAGCCCATTAAATCCCTTAAAAGGAGAAAAGGGCAGGGAAAGATCTCTCCCAGACTCTGCAGCAATGCCAAACAAACACACAAGTGGCTCATCTCATCCGTGTTCCAGCAGGTGGGAAGCAGAAAAACTAAACTGTTTCTATTAGGTTCAGCAGTAATTCACACCCTGGATTTATGTTCTATTAAACACTTCACTGTTCCCATTTCATTCATCTTTACATGAACATAGCAATTTCTGTTCTGAGAAAGAAACTGTCTCAGATAATGAAGCAGCAATCTTTGGGGGAAAGGGTGGGGGTGAAGATGCAGCAAAGAAGGGATGGGGCCTCAGAGGGAGTCCAAAAACTGGCCTCAGAGGGAGTCCAAAAACTGAAGGACTCTTCTTTCTCAACTTTCTCCCTCCATGTCTCTCCTAAGCTTCGCCCATTTAAAGGAGGCTACTAGTGACGTCAGGTAAGAATGATACTAAGGTTTCACAGAAGCAAAAAAGAAATTCGATCTTAAACAGGGACACAGCCCACAGGACAAGCAAACTTCCTAACAAGAACCTCCACTGGCAGCCCCTCCTCAAAGACCGACCCTTGACCTTCTGCCTTGTCTGGCTCTGTTCCTTCCCGGTCCTTCTACATTGCTGCTGTCCACCAGCTGGCTTCCCTGGGCAGACTTAGAGATGCTGAGCAGAGGACAGCATGCGGGAGAATTACTAGGAGAAATTTATTTTCAATCCGAAGAGCTTTTTCTGCACCAAGGAAAAAGAAGATGAGATTATTCTCCATTGGAGAGATTTTCAACAACCAAAAAGCCGATGAATAAAATCTCTATTTGGTGAAAACCAACATGGAAGAAAACAATTCAGCAGTTCCACGTGGAAGGCGTGACGATTACACAGAAGCCATGAAGTGTAAAGGCAGAAGTGAGACCAGAAGTTTGGCATGAGGGTGGTGGAGCAAGCAGGTATAGTTTCACCACATTTCAAAGATAATAAGTTTGGCAATCCTAATCTGTGAAGAGGAACTAAAGGGACATGGGAAGAGAATGAGAACTAAAGAAACAAAGACTCTTAAACTAACAAGTGTCTTCATTTTACTGACAAGGAAAATGAAACTCAAATATTTGCTGACCTCTCCAAGGCGTGGTATAGGACTGAAACAAGCGTCCTGAATCTGGCTCGCAGGCCTAGCCCTGTACCGGCCGTGTGCTTTCCGAAGACAGCACATGTCCTAAGCTGTCGGTGTTTCAGGAATGGGGAAGAACAGGAGGATGTGCAGTGCAAGGACCTTGAAGCAACTCCTAAACTCTAGAAAGCAATGGCCCTAGAAGAGTATGTCCAACTTAAGAATCCCGACTTGATACTTCCCAGAAACCAGCAGGCTCCCTGGAGCTCTAGGAGGGTAAGCCAGGATCCCCACCAAAGGATGACCGCAGCCTTCCCTGTAAGACTCTAACTGTAGCCCTAAGCCAGGACCCCAGCCCTGGTAGGAAAGAAAATCAACTGCTCCTTCCTTTCTCTAGCTAATCTGCTGGGAGCCCCATGACTTCTAAGCTGCCTTGCAACCCAGATGAAGCATAGTTCTAAGAAGGGAAACACAGGATTCACTAAGGGACGACTGGAGCCCTGATGGCTAAGTGGTTAAGTGCTCAGCTGATAACCAAAAGGTCAGCAGTTCAAATCTACCAGTCGCTCTTTGGAAACCCTACGGGGCAGTTCTACTCTGTCCTATATGGTCACTATGACACAGCAATGGGTTTGGTTTTTTGGTTTTTTAAGGGACAACTGCACCAGAGAGCTTTGAGAGAAGAGCTCAAGGCCGGGCTTAAAGGAGTGAAGTCAAAAGGAATTCAGCCTTGTCTCTCTCACCAAGGGTGGGACCAAAATCAGTAAAACTGAACACTGATGCAGACCATCTCTTTCACCCAACTAGGGAGACTCCCTTTATGTACTGGGTTTCAACTGAAGAACCTGGTGAAGAATCTAACCCAAACACTGCAGATCAGGGTTGTTTACATTTGCAGTTTCATTCCTGCACAGTCCTCATTGAGTCCTTCTAAGTTAGGCTCTGGTTAAGTGCAGAGCTTGGTCTATGGCTTGGGAAGAGGCTGATGCGCTCCTCAAGTCCCATTAATTTGGTACTGAAAATAGAAGGCTTAGCTTCCAACAGAAGCCAGGGGGACAAAACCAAGGCAAGGATCCCAGGCTCTGTGAGTCGCAGGTGGTACTGCCATTTTGGTGGCATTCTTTATTAAAATTCTAGATTCTGTCCAGAAATAGAGGGGGCTGGGACTGGAGATAGAGTTGAAACAATAACCTGGTGTTGTGTGTCCATGGGAGCCCCAAGAGCACGGTCTCCAAAGTGGGGCACATGAGACAATTTACTGGGGTATCAGAAGAAAACAGAGGGCATTTCCAAGTATTTTTAATCATCCTCTGTATCTTATTTTAAATATGCTTTAGAATGTGCCAACAGATTAGTATGGCAATGTCTATACAATTTAAAAGTGAGTATTTAATACATTTGTGGGAGGATGTTCTACGCTCCAAATACTTTTGCTCATAGGGATGTGGTCAGAAAAGTCGGAGGCCTTCGCCCCTGGAGCATTACTGATACCTTAGATCTTGCTCCATGCTGAAAGCTGTGCTCCTCTTACATCTGTCACTGGACTTTGCTGGCCATGTAGAAAGACACTAGGCTTCTATACTCAGCTTAATGCCATGTCCTCCTACCTATCTGTATACAACTGCTAGATACCCAACACCTATAACAATAAGGTACTGGGCTTCCCAAATAACACACTCTCACAAGGGAAAAGCCATGTCCGTCATGCTTGGCGAAAATTTTTTAAGTCATAGCAAAATAACTTCTAAAGGAAAAAAAAAATCACATGTATGCTGGTTTAGTAGGAAATAAGATTTCAACCAAAAAAAAAAGAAGAGAAAGCCGTTCGGCAAAATAAAATGACAATGCATTTATCAAAAGTTCTTAGTAATAACTCAAAAAAAGAGGGAAATCACTATATCTAATCTCTTTAAAGACAAGAAAATCAACTGTTGTAAGAATATGACAGCCAGGGTCAACAAACACACAGAACTGATTTTAAGTAGAACAGGACTCCTAATGGGCACTTTTGGTATAAGTCCTAAAGATGACATCTTCCTTCCTCCTTCCTTCTCTCTATATACATCTTAAAATCCCATTAAAAACACTTAGTTTTTTAACAGAAGACACTCTGTGGGAAGTTTCTCATTAATCCACACAGAATTATATCCTAGATTCCTATTATTATAATAAAGAAGTATTTATTAGCTAACTATTCTATATTCTGGTATACCCACTGTGCAGGTAATGCCTATTTTACATATGTAGGAACAGTGGCTCAGGGCTTCATGACTCATCCAGGAGTAAAGCAGAGTGAGGGAGGCAGACCTGACACATGCATACACACAGCCCCTGAAAGTGATGACACACCACTTGCCTGATGTGGCTGGGATGAAGGGGGTGTAGACAGTGGAGGTGCCTGTCCTCCTGGGGCAGCGCTTGCCAAACCACAGAAAGAAACACTCCATGACCTGGTGCAATATACAAACGCTTTCTCACCACCAAAACAAAAATTTCATAGACCAATACATATTATTGTCGTGTGCCACTGAGTTAATTCCGACTCATAGTAACCCTATAGGACAGGGTAGAACTGCCACAAAGGGGTTCCTAGGCCATAATCTTTATGGGAGTAGATCACCAGGTCTTTTCTCCCAAGGAGCAGCTGGTGGGTTCCAACTGTTGACCTTTTGGTTAGCAGCTGAGCGCTTTAACCACTGTGTTGCCAAGGCTCCTTCATCCTGTATTTTCTATTCTGGGGAAAAAAAAAAAATTGGTCACCTCCCACTAAACTTATCTCACTATCTGGAGCCAAATCCAAAGTCAGAAAAGCACTGCTCAAGGGCAAGGGCTCTAGCTCACCTATGAAACTCACTAATGTACCCCACAAGCCAGTTGCTCCCACTGCCATATTCACAAAAACAAGGTCACTTCCCAACCACCAGTCCTTAGCTCCCACTGGCCCAGTGTCAACATGCTGTAATACCTGGAGGCAGGGTCTCCACGCTTTGTGCTTTATCTTCCCCATTGCTGTGATGAAGGTCTTTCTTTTTAATAGGATCAATTTCATTCCAGTCCTCCTGGGGAGAACAAAGACACCAAATGAATGATTGGTTCTTCAAATACATTTTCATGTAACAGTTCAATACACAGGGAGTTGATGGTGCCAGGCACTACAGGAGGCCCAGGGATGCAGGATGAGGAAGAGGCAGCTCTGGTCTCAAGGACACCTGCACCAGAACCTGTCAAGCAGTTGAGAATGCAAAGGAAGAAAAGAGTAGCAGTGACCTTTTCCAAGGGAGGGTTTGTATTTCTTCACTTCGCGATTACATTTCGTATCTGTGGGAAGACAGTACTACAAAGAGTCCCAGGACTTGGAGGATTTGTGAGGGTGGGAAACTGAGATAGGGAAAGTGGGTTAAATACCATAATTTGATAGTGGTTAAATTAAAGCTGATAAAAGGAAAGTAGCTCTCCAAACATCTCAGATGGCTTAAGGACACCCTAGGGCCAGATTTTCCCTAAGGGCCCCTCCTCAGAGGGTTGTTAACTGATTTGTTTACTTACACTGACTACAAGGGAGGGAGGGAAACAGATCTGCCAAGCTTCTTGGGCTTTCTCTAATGTTGACTGCCAGTGGAATAGGGCTGCAAATTAAGGACTTAATGTGAAACCAGAATAAGGTATATGCTTTGGCAGAATTTATTCACCTCATTTGGGCAAACAATTTACTCTCAGAGAATAATTTATCAACATTAAATTAAACTAAATAACAATTCTACAACTACAGAGCTAAATATATTTTTCAAGCACTTGGGATCTGATGTCTGTGAATAAAAAAAAGAAAGGCTTCTGAGGGGCTACACACATACCCAAATCAGAAATATCCCATAGCTAGTAATTCCCCCAAGCCGACTTCTGTGAGCCAAGCACTGTCAACTGTCCACTTTCATCTGCACATGCCATTAGGACAAGCTGCAGCAGCAAGCCCACCCTCCAGTCCAGAGAAGAACCAACTATGCTTCAGACCAGCACAGGCTGCCAGCTGTGCAAAGGTTTACCACTGGAAACACTGTGGCTCTTTAAAATGTAAAGTGAGATTTGCAAGAAGTATCATCCTCAGAGTCTGGGCCAAGTGATACACTTTTTCCAAATGCAACCTGCTCTGCCAGTGCTCCACATTTTCATTCAAACGGTATAGTAAATTAAAGAGAACGCTTGCGTAAGATTCTCCCCTCTAGAGACCAGCCTCTCCTTCTGTCATTCCTGCATGCAAGCTCTACAGCTGGGCTTATCACATTACGGTTGACATGGAAATGACAGACAGGGGCATCTGTGAAGATGACTGCAGAAGGAACGGAAAGCACAGTGGGCTTGGGAGAGGAATCATTGGTCTGAGCTCCACCCACCTGTCACAAGGCCACTTTAAAGACTGCAAATGCCCCACGTACAATATTGTGACAAATGTATTAAAATGTTTTCATATGTCAATTTAAATATCTTCACTGCAAAAAGATTTGAAAGATATTTAAAATTTGATTTTGGGGTTATTTGGTTACAAATGAACTTTTAAATATTTCAGTTACTGACAATTACTTCTCTGCAAATCTTGATAAATATGCAGGAGTGAGAAAATCTAACCTACCGCCTTGTTGTTACTGATGTTGTCGGTTCCGACTCACAGTGACCCTATGTACAACAGAATGAAACAACGCCCAGTACTGTGCCATCCTCACAACGGTTGCTATGTCTGAGCCCACTGTTGCATTCACTGTGTCAATCCATCTAGTTGAGGGTCTTCCTCTTTTTCACTGACCCGCTACCAAGCACGATGTCTTTCTCCAGGGACTGGTCCCCCCTGATAACATGCCCAAAGTACATGAGACAAAGTCTCACCATCTTTGCTTCTAAGGAGCTTTCTGGTTGTACTTGTTCCAAGACAGATTTGTTCATTCTTCTGGTAGTCCATGGTATATTCAATATTCTTTGACAACACCATAATTCAAAGGCATCAATTCTTCTTAAGTCTTCCTTATTCATCGTCCAGCTTTTGAATGCATATGAGGCAATTAAAAATACTACGGCTTGGGTCGGGCACACTTTAGTTCTCAAGGTGACATGGTTGCTTTTTAACACTTCAGAGACGTTTTTTATAGCAAATGTGCCCGATGCAATACAGCACTTGATTTCTCAATTGCTATTTTTTGTGGGCATTGATTATGGATCCAAGTAAAATGAAATCCTTGACAACTTCAATATTTCCTCCATTTATCATGATGTTGCTTACTGGTCCAGTTGTGAGGATTTTTGTTTTCTTTATGTTGAGGTTAATCCATACTGAAGGCTGTGGTCTTTGATCTTCATTGTAAGTAGTTCAAGTCCTCTTCACTTTCAACAAGCAATGTTGTGTCATCTGCATATCGCAGGCTATTAATGAGTTTACCTCCAATCCTGATGCTGTGTTCTTCTTCAGACAGTACAGAGTCTCGAATTACTTACTCAGCATACAGATGGAATAAGTATGGTGAAATGATACAACCCTGACCCACACCTTTTTCGATTTTATCCCCTTATTCCGTTCAAAGGATTGCCTCTTGGTCTATGTACAGCCTCCGCATGAGCACCAATGCCTCACAATGTAATAAAATATGTGTGAACACTAAATCTAACAGTAATGAAGTTATCAGAGTCACATTTTGTAGATTTTTAATTAAATATTATTTTATTTATTTACTTCTCTTTGTTGCTTGTTTAGAGTATTTTGTAGCCAATAATTATTTTTTCCCTAGGACATTTTCACAAGCATTTGGCCTAGTACATACCACTGGCTAATGGATCAAGCCATTTAACCCTGTACTTAAATAAAATCAAAAGCAAATATTGTCAGTGGGACCAGTAGCTCTTGCCCTATTTTCTACATCTAAATATCACATCACTATCTTTAGAGTTCACCAAACCCATATTTCAGGTTAAACTATCAATATTTTCTCAGGCAATAGACGTTTCCTTTTCCCCACAAACACGATTAATTAGCCTATAAATAACATTCCTCAGCTTCCCTTTGTTCTGGACTCCCAATCAACCACGCCCACCATAAAATTAAAATGGACATGCCCTTATTTATAACCAGGGCATAGCAAAGTACCACAGACTTAAAATCCTGTCAGCAGGCACTGCACATCAATAATTTCTCATCCCTACATGTTAGAATTCCTGTCTTACAATGAGGACACAAAGATCCATGAGACAGGTTAATTAATTTGTCCAGGTCAAACGGCTGGTAAAGAAGCTAAAAAGCTGGCCCTTTATAAGCCAGGATGGGGATGACAGCCTAGGGCTCAATTTAAACCAAGTAACAAAACCCTTATTCTCAAAATGCCATAG